TAGCATTAGATCTTAATTGTTTAAGAGAGTAATGTTTTAGGTTTATCTGCAAAGCAGTGAAAAGACAAACCATAGTAATTAAAGACTGACTACCGTATACACAGGCAGGGTATTTAAATTTGAGGAAGACCGAGAGTAGAACCCTGAGGGACACCATTTTAAAACTGCTTCAAAAATGTAATGGTAGGACACAATCATGTCGTAGCAGACATAGCGATTGGATTACATGGTAATATCAGCTTGTAAAAATATAATTCATTATAATAATTACATCCCACCAGTTTTTGTTATTACATGGAAACTATCCCAACATAAAGGTTTCATGGTAAGGTTTAGAGGACTTACTGTTGACAAATGTAAAAATATCAGATAATAAAGCAGAGACCATTATTTCAAGCATTTATAAACTTGATCAAATTATAACTACTGTGATTATTGGTTATTGCCTTAGATCGTAGGTCTTCAACAAGGGGCCTGTGACCCCTAGGGGGCACATGGCGGTACTGCATGGGCGTTGCAAGAGTTTTGGTTGATTAGACTTTTTTTATATTCCCCCTTGTGATATTTTTCCACTAATGAAAATGTCTTTGAATACATAACTAACATGAATTCAACACACTGCAGTAAACAGATAAATGGAGGCAGAAGATGTCTTTCAGTCATCAATGCACACATTCAGCGACACACAGGAGCTCTTTCAAGCTGGGCGCCATTTCATTCACAACACCTGTCCCATCAACCAGGAATCAGAATCAGATATACTTTAATAATCCCAGGGCAAAATTACTTTAGTTACATTACTGCATATGTAATAGAGTGACTATAGGACCAGTTTGATGTAACACAATTTCATACAATATATATAATTAGGGGGTCCCGGCTCCAATATGCCATCAGTTTGGGAGTCCTTGGCCTGGAAAACATTGAAGACCCCTGCCTTGGATAGTTCTGGTGTGTTTCCTGTTTTATCCCTATTTAGTGCATAAATTATATCTAGTGTATTGTTTATTACTAAACAAATAGTTTTCAGTTGTCAAGTGTATTCTTTTACACTATTTAAAATTATTTATTCCTTGTTAGTGTCAGACAAGACACGTCTGATTCTAATCTATTTCTGAGCTTTAAGGAAAACCCCTGATTTAAGTTTTCATTTTGTTGTGTTTTACTCAGACAGATTAGCTGCAGCCTCTTAAAAGGAGGCACCGAGGTTAGGCTATTGTGAAATAAATAAAACAGCCCCTAGTTTTGCATGGCTGATAAGATACATGTTGCTACTAATTCACATGTTTATTTTCATGAGTTTAGCTTATCTTTAAAACATTAAATGTCTCTGTTTATTAAAGTAACAGTTCTCAGGAGAGCAGAGGTGGTAAAGGAAGCATTAACCTTTAATAAAATAAAACACTATTATGTTGTAAATGTAATTTATGAATAAACGGTTGGCTATCCATTGATGCTTTAGAGTTTTAGGCAAACCAGCAGTGTGCTTGCTCTATTGTATAAGGTTAAGATCCAGGATCATTTGGACAAATTAGCTGTAGGCGAAACGCAGAAAGATCCAAAAGGACCAAAGGATACATCTGGCTGCTATTTAGTTCAAACTTGCACCGGATCATACTCATTTCACTTTGCCCTAGCATCTGAAGGTTCCAATAATTTTCAACATCACCACCTTTATTTAGGATCCATTTCTTCTCAGTCATCTTCCTAGTTTCTTCCCCCTTTCATTTGAGATATTTTTTCCAAAAGCCAGGTCTAGTTCTTTTATACTGTTAAAACTCGTGTCTGTTTGCTCATGTGTAATCGTATAACTGTGTACATTACTACAACTACACAAGCAAACTGCCAGAAACTGAAACTATATATTTGTCAGATACAGTATTTCTACAGTTAAGCTCTAGGTGAGTCATTACTCCGGCACATATTGATCATACTCAAATGAAGCTATGAAACAGATTACCATGGTCTCTTCTTTTACTCTGTTAAATATAAGGTGTCTCCTCTGAGTTTAAATGCTGTAGAAATAAGCCAGACTGTCAGACTCTTTGTTATCGAATGGAAAGGGCAGACAGAGACGCAAACTGTCTGCACCAGACGAGGTATTCCATCAGGATTTTCTCTCCGCGTCTGTATTTGATGTGGGTTACTGGGTGCATTTCGCTGCCAGCAGCTGCTGTGAGCTTTACAGTTGGTTAACTTCTCCCGTCTGACCTGCTTCAGCTGAGGAGAAGGGAGGAGAGAGGCCAACCTGGCAGCGGTACCACAGTGGAAATTCACACCTAGCCTCAGGCTCTAAGAAAAGTAAACGAGTTGTGAAGAATATTGGGTCTGTGGATTCTCTGTTGTACCCGTCAGTACGGCTCATAATTAAAGTTTCTCACTGAAAGTTGCTGTCATATAATCTTTATTCCTCCTACAGTCATAAAGTTTATAATTACTTCGGCCTTTCTATTCCGCTTAAAGGGCCTTGATTCTCATGAGATTTTCCATGTTTTTGAATTGAATGGTTTTCTTGTTTTGAGCTCATGCCACCAAATTAAAGCTGCAGGGAACACCCATTTCTCAGAAGCCGCTTGGATTAGAACAAGACTGTTGTCAAATGTAGGGCTTTGCATTAGTAAAGTATTGCAAACAACATGTGAATATGTCTGAATAAATTAGTGAAATGCACACTAATAAATGTTATCAAGCTAATCATTAGGATTCATGACTCAGTTAGAGCTACGGTATTAAGTTTGATTTCAGGCAATAAAGGGGATGCAAAGATCATCCTGTCTGTAATGCTTTGACCCGACTTTACCTATGTAAACAAATACAAACTTTTCTTTGAGAAGCATAATATATAGGAAGATATAATAACGGAAATCAGACACAACTTTCTAATTTTTTTGCTGAAAGTGTTTATAAATAATTAAAAAGAAGCAAAAAGAGCAGAACTATACTTTTATAGAGTGTTTTATTACAGTGGGCCTAGTATTTATTAAAAAAAATTAGTATTGTATTGTATTGTATTCACTGAGATTGTGGACCTTAACTCTAAAAGAAATTAAAAGCTCAGTAATATAAATCATTACTGTACTCAGCCTTCCTGTTATCTGCTGAAAGTTGTAGTCTCTTTCTTTTTCTCATAGGCAGAATAAAAATCTGTTTAAAAAAATACGGTTTCCTTTAGAAAAGCTTATTTATTATCCATGCTTCCCCCCAATTTAAACCCTTGCTGATGATGAAACCAGTTGAATTTGAGTCTCCTTCTCTCAGCAACTGCATCTACTCTGAAGAAGGTTGATGTTCCTGTGCTAAATGGAAGACCATCAGTTAGAAAGAAATCATTAATCTTGCAATTTCTTTTAATCAGTTTAATTGAGGTCCATCATTAATCTTGTAACCAGAAGCCACTCTGTATATAATGTCAAAGAAATGTTGCAAACTGAGTGTGTCCCCTCTGATCTCTTTGCTTAACAGCTTGTCCGCCTGGTACTTACAAACCAGAGGGAACACCTGGAGGACTCACCACCTGCCTGACATGTCCTGATGCACATCACACCTCCCAGCCTGGCAGCACCAACCTCGAGGATTGTGTCTGCAAGCCGGGCTATCAGCCAATAGGCACAACCTGTCAGGGTAAGACAAAACTGCTCTCTTAAAGTAAAGTGTTTGATATACACAGCATTCACGTTGCAACGACACCCTCCAGCAACACTTAATGTGTGGTTACTGTAAATATTTTGACTCAGGAAAAATATTTCTTTTTTAGCTTTTGGCTGCAAATGTGAAATACTGCTACTAAAAGTTGCAGTAATGTTAAACACAACGACAAAACTTCATTACTTTTTTCTCCTCATGGTACCTCCGTTGCAAACAAGATTTACAGTTATGCAAAATAATTGCTTATTTTATTGTATATAACTTTTAAATGCTACAGAAAGCAGTTCTTTTTTTTAAGAAACCCATCGCTGTGTGCACTCTAAATGGAAGGATACGAAGAAGGTTGCCTGATGCCACCTTCACATTGGTCAGCAAAAAAAATAAATGGTGTCTGGAAAGTTAAAAAACATATTGTGCTGCCTAACAGGATTGAAAGGACATTAGTTTGCAATTTTTTTGTTAATTTAGACCAAATGACTGTGATGACATTGCGGTCAGTTAAATTATTGTGGCCCTTCAGATTTCTCGACCACGTTGAACACTGCGTCACTGTGCTGGCTTTTACAAAAACATTTTCTCCAAATGTTTGAAAGGAATAATCCATGCAAAGACTTCAAAAGGTGGGACAGATACACATGTCTCCAAATTGCACATATGGCCTGAATGTGGAGATAGGACAATTTTTATGCTTTGATTTGATTTTAAAGTTTATTTATAATGTTTTAAAAAAGAGGACTTTTTAAGCAATGAGGAAATGGACAAATGATGTAATGAAAAAGAAACGACGATAGTCATTATAAAGTACATCTATCTATCTATATACATATATATATATAGATATATATATATAGATAGATAGATATATATATATAGATATAGTGTAGACAGACAGACAGACAGACAGACAGACAGACAGACAGACAGACAGACAGACAGACAGA